AAGCAACAATCATTCATTCACTCATTCATTTATTCGAATTTTACTTCCACGGATATTTCTTGAGTACCTACTATGTGCCAGGCACTGTTTGAGGCATGGAGCACGGGGAGATACACCAGAAAACAAGACAGACAAAAAGCCTTGCTCTCATGGAGCTGGTGGTCTAACAGGGGAGTCAGATAAAGACACATAAAGAAGATAATTTCAAGTAGGAAAAGTACTAGGATGGAAGTAAAGCAGGGGGAGGTGATGGAGAGTGACTGTGGAAGCCCCTTGAGACGGGGCAGTCCAGGAAGGCCTCCCCGAGGAGGTGACATTTGAGAAAAGACCCAACTGGTGAGAAGCAGCTGGTCCAAGACAGACATGGGGAAAGTGCTCCTAGCAAAGTGAACAGCAAGTGCAAAGGCTCTAGCGACAGAGCAAGCTGGGTGGCTGTGAGAGAAGGGGTGGCTGGACCTCGGTGGAGGGAGGGAAGCCTGGTGGGGCTAAGGTGGGAGAGGGCGGATGATGCGAGGCTGTGCACATCACAGCGAGAGATCTTCTTGGCTCCTCTCTCGCTTCGTTCAGACTTCTGCTCCCTAACTCACCTCTTCTGCGGAGCCTTCTCTGCTGACCTTGGTTAAATTAACCTGTTTCATTCTTTCTCATAACGCGATGTACGCGGCGTCATAATCTCTCTCCATCGGGTGTATGGGGATGTATTGTTTCCTTTCCCCGCTATTACAATGTCAACCAGGCAGGATCACCCAAAGTTAGCTGCCACGTGGCATGGAAAATAGGGCCACAAGGACCCGAGCATGGGTGCCGTTGATGGGTGGCAGGGAGAATGGGTCCCGCATTCTGCGGGTTGTAGTTTTGACTCCATTTAAGCCTCACAAGCCAATTCTGGAAACCAAGCCCTGAGTACTGAGATTCTCCTAAAATAATGATAATAATCATGGCTAATTTTCACTGGGTCCTTGCTGTACACCAGACACTGTGCTAAGCACTTTTTTTTTTTTATTGTGGTGAATTACACATGGATTTTACCATGTTAGCCATTTTAAAGCGTGCAATTCAGTGGCGTTTAGTACATTCCCGAAGTTGTGCAATCATCGCCGCTATCTAGTTCCAGAACATTTCCATCTCTCCAAAAGGAAACTGTTCTCATTAAACAGTCACTCTCCATCCCCCCTTCCCTCCAGCCTCTGGAAACCACTAACCTACTTTTTGTCTCTATGGGTTTGCCTGCTCTGGACGCTTCATGCTAATGGAATCATGCGGCATGCGGCCTTGTGCGTCTGGCGTCTTTCATATGTTCCCCCACATATCAGGACCTCATTGCTTTTTACTGCCGAATCATAGTCTATTGTATGGATATACCGCATTGTGTTCATTTGTTCCCACGTTTTGTCGATTATGAATAGTGCTACTATTTGTGTACGAGTTTTTGTTCGAACATCTGTTTTCAATTCTTTTGAGTGTGTACCTCAGAGTGGAGTTGCTGGGTCATATGGCAATTCCACGTTTAATTTATCGAGGAACTACCAGCTAAGCACTTTTTTAAGGTGTCCGTGATCTTGGGGAATTCTCACGAGCTAATGAGGGAGGCTCTGCATGGCTTCCATTCTGCAGATGAGGAAATTGAGACTCGGCAAGTGGCATTCATGAGCCAAGGTCACATTGGTAAGAAGCCATGAAATTGGGTCCGTTGGACTCCAAACCAGCTTGAACCCAAGCTGAAATAGAAGAGGGGTAGAGTGAGAACGAGGCTGTCTTTAGTACACTCTTAGCCTCTCGAGTTGCCATCTGCAGGGGAAGCTGAGGAAAGAGGTAAAAGCCAGTGTCTCTGTTAGACTTGCTTGGACTCTAATCTCCCTTGCTCCGTTCTGGCTGTGTGACTTTGGGTAAGCTGGTTCACCTCTCTGGGCCTTTAATGCCCCATTAAATGGTGCTAAGGAGAGAATCGCATGAGATCGCACGCTCTTGGTGTGGGTGGGTCAGGACTCTCAGAATCTCCTCTCCAGAGAGGCTTGTGGGGCAACAGGGCCCAGGGCTGGAAAGGGTGGGCGGCCCATGGGGGAAGGTGGCGTCCACCTTGAAGTCCCACGTCCATGCTGATGCTGAATGTTTCGGATGGGAAAACAGCACACAGTTTTCCAGAAGTGCTTGGACACCACCTCATCAAAAGAGAAAGTAGCCTGGGTTCGTTAATTCCCCAGAACCACACAGCGTTTTAGGTCAGAAATAATAATAACTATGGCTTGTTAAGTGGGCTCCAGAGAATATAATCTAACTTGGACTTGTAATTCTACCGGGAGGGACGGGATGACTGGGGAATTTCACAGATGAACTTGAATGCAGGCTGAACTCAGCACAAACTCGGGCTTGCTAAGTCGGAGAACCAAGGGAACATTTACTGAGCGCTTGCTGTATGCACTGACTCATTCAACATGCAAACCAACCCTGGAAGGCAATACTATTATAAGCCCTGCTGTACAGATGGGGAAACTGAGGCTCAGGGATGTAAAGACACTTGCCCAGAGTTGGACAGCTAAGTGCTGAGCTGGGGTTTGAACCCAGACTGTCAGGATCTGGATGGAGCGCGTGCTCTGAACCACCGTGAGTTTTCCTTGGGGAAGGGTGGGAAAAATGTCCTTTCGTGTTCTGCAAAACGAAGTGACAGTGTCCGGCTGAGGTCACTGGCTGGTGGGCGGGAGGTTGCTGATGGAGGAAATGGGGAGGGGGTAAAGGCACCCCAGGAAGTGCCCTGTGTCCCGTTTACCGGGTATTTTCCTTCCTGGACTCTTGGTCAAGTTGTTTCTAGGTGAGTGTGTGTGGCTCGGGGGTTAGTTAGCTCCAGAGCTGTGGGGTGTTGGGATCCAAGGTCAGGGCAGCAGCCCAGGGTCCTTCCTACCTTGGAGGTGCCTGGAGAAGCATGTGGTCTGTCTACAGTGGCAAAGCTTTGACTCTACTTGCCAGCTGGGCCCTGCCACTGCCAGCACTGCATCCCCAGGGTACCAGTTCTGCTGTGTGACCTGGGCAAATGTAACAGCCTCTCTGAACCTCAGTTTTCTCCCCTGGAACGTGGGGATAACCACTGTACGCGGTTGGGGCTGCTGCTCTTACTCCCACTGCTGCCCCCAATAAGAATCCACGTGGAGTTTCTGCCCGGCCGAGGGGAGGACACCCTTGGCCTGGGCCCTGGTGGACGTCAGGTGGGAGGGCCCTTGGTGTCCGCCAAGGCTGGCTCCTGCCTGGCCGCCCGGACGTGGGGGGAGGGAGGCCCCTAGCCAGCCAGACTCCTGAGTCACAGTTTCCCGTTGCTGCCAGCACCCGGCGGGAAAGGGGGACGTGAGTGGAGGCGGGGAAGAGGAGGGGAGCCTGCGGTGTGTGGTGGGGAGTGGGCGGAGAGCTGAGATCCCAGTCGTGGCCGCTGTTTGGCAGGACAGACAGAAAACCATCTGTCAGATATGAAGGGCCTCCTGGGATATCGGAGTAGGATCCTTGCACCTCCTGGGTTACAGGCAGCAAACTCAATCTCCCAAATTTCCTAACCCCTTCCCGCCAGCCCCTCATATCCATACCAGCCACACTCAGCTTCGTGACCTTCTTTCTGTTTCTTGAGTTTGTGGATCAGATTCCCACCTCGGGGCCCTTGCACTTGCTGTTTCTTCTGCCTCAAAACATTTCAAGGGACTGGCTCTCAACCTCCAGCCTCGGCTTAAATGTCACCTCTTTGGAGAGGCTCTCTCTGAGCACCTTCCTATTCCCCATCCCAATTTTTCTAGCTCATCCACTCGTTCATTCATCTACCTAGAATATGCTGAGTACCTGCTGTGGGCCAGGTCTTGCTCTGGGGATGGGGGATAAGACAATGAACAAAGCAGACACTGTTCCTGCCCTCATGGAGCTGTCGTTCTACCAAAGGAAACAGACAAGCACCAACGAGTATGTGGTACAGTGAGTCGATCTTTTACTGTGGTAAAGATCAGGAAGGAAGACTGGAGCACAGCTGGGGAAGTCAGGATGCCAGAGGAGGTGGTCTCCCCAGCAGATGGGGCCTAAAAGAAGGTGTCTTTCAGGAAGTGATGCCAGGTAAAGATTTGAAGGAAGTTGGGGAGGAGGACATGTGAGTATCTGGGAAAAGAGTTTCAGGCAGATGGAATAGCAAGTGTAAAGGCCTTGAGGCAGGAGTACGGCTGGCCTAATCGAGGAGCCGCAAGGAGGCCCGCGTGGCTGGAGCAGAGTAAGCGAGGTGGGTTGCGTTCAGCGAGGGAATGGGGTGAGCAGATCGAGCAGGCCACGGTGAGGATTAGGCTTTTGCTCTGAGTGAGGTGGGAGCCCCTGTGGGGTCGTGAGCAGAGGTGTAACAGACGTGGTGGGACGTAATCAGATTCCAGGTAGATTTAGGGGCAGAACTGACCTGTCTCAACAATGGATTAGGGTGAGGGCTGGAGATTGGAATCAGGACCTCCCAGCCCTCTAGGCTGACAGGCAGGGTCCCCCACCCTGCCACTGCTTTGACATGAGGCCCAAGCCTTGGACTAGGACCCCACCCCACAAGTGAACTGGGCTTCCAAGTTCAGGCTGAAATCTGTGTTGGGCAGGGGATAGCTTATCACTGGCCGGCTTTCCTTCACGGAGAGCTCCTTCCGGGGGGCACCCTAAATCTTCTCTCCTCCTTCTCCTTTATAACCACCAGGCTAGCCAGGGCCTCGTTCAGGGAGGTGGCTGGTGGGGAGAGGGCTGGGCCTTTCTAGAGCCATGCTGGGGGCTGGGCGTAGAGGTGAAGCAGAAACCACTAGTGAGTGGGAGAAGCAGCCTGTGGCCAGCCCAGCACCCCACCCCCACCCCCCGCTGCCATGTAGACTCCTGTCTCATCCCTCTGGCCATGACCTTCCCACCCCACCCCCACT